TCGCTGCAGCACCTCACTATTTGGATCAGTATTCTCACTTGCAAAGACAAATAACTGCAGCCAAAGAAATTCCTTTTTGAGCCACTGTTGGACACAGTCAAAAAGAAAAGTGCTTTGCAATTTCAGTAGCATTCAAATGAGCTATTGGTTATTCCTACCAAAAGTCTTTTAAAGCATCCTCTTATAGGATAGGATAGCATTTTATTTGCTTTATATTGTAATAAAATAAAAATGGTACAAAATAAAATAGAGGGTCATGAAATCAGGACAAGATGAACATTCAAGGAGCAAGGTTACAACAGGGTCAAGAGTATGGCTGCTGTTCTTGTCCTTAGGGAACATGAAGTCAGTTCCAGCTCACAGCAACCTCGCGCACAATAGAACAAAACCCTGCCCGGTCCTGCACCATCCTCACAATTTGTCTTATGCTTAAGTCCATTGTTTCTGCCACTGTGTCAATCCATCTTGTCAAGGCTCTTCCCCCTTTTCTCTGCCCCTCTACTTTCCCAAACATAATGTCCATCTCCAGGGACTGGTTTCTCCTGACCACGTGCCCAAAGTATGTGAGATGAAGGCTCACCATCCCCTAAAGAGAATTTGGGCTGTACTGCTTCCAAGACAATTCGGTTTGACATTTTAGCAGTCCGTGGTACTTCCAATATTCTTCTCCAGCACCACAATTCAAATGCATCATTGATTCTTCTTTGGTCTTCTTTATTCAATGTCCAACTTTCACATGGGCAAGGCAATTGAGAATAACATGGTGGCTTTCCGTCACTTCAAAGAGGTGTTGTGCAGCGGATTTACCTAATGCAATGCGTCATTTTATCTCTTGACTGCTGCTTCCATGGGTGTCGATTGTGGATCCAAGAAAAATTAAATCCTAGACAACTGTACATTGATTAATATGGTTAGTACTGTAAAACACCTAGTAAAAGTCTGGGGCACTTGCCATTGGCAAACCTTATGATTGGTCAGTGTGAAGGAATAGAAGTGGGTACAAGAATGATGGTGCCTATAGGAAATGAGCCAAACAAGAAGAAGCACAAGCATTCCGGGTACTGAGACCAGAAATCTCATCACAGTATCTACAGCAATACATTGTATTATAGGCTGATGGCTTCATGCCAAAGCACAATCCAACCAAAGCCCATCTACAAAGAGCCAGAGTGATAGGATCCAGGCAAACATCTGGCTAATATGGGAAAGATATTTTAGAAATTTTGTAGAACTGAGTCGGTTTCAGTTCTCCATAAATGAGATTCCCATGCCTGAGTTTCATTGTTTAGCACTAGAAAGCCCCAGGAAATGGTTCTTGACAAGTCAGTAAGGTGGAGCTCTTTTAGGCTACCAGCTAAGCACAGAGCCATAAATGATAGAAGTGAATGCAGCTGTGTGATGGATATACTCCTGCAGGTCCTTACAAACCATGCTGACCAGTCAAACGACATCTAACACAGAAGAAGAGAACTTCCTGGTATATCTTTGAGAGTAAATGACAAGGGTGGCTACAAAGACTCTCAGGTGGCCTCCATGATGCCTACCTTCTTTCTGGTGTCTTCTGTCTTTGACAGAACCTGAGACATGTGGCTAACCAATATCGAACCAAATTTCACAAAGTTTGCAGAAAATATTCATTACCTTTCCTTGCATTTTTCTATGAACTTTTGGAAGCTCCTGGTATATGGCACAAGTGATGGGATACATCGTTCCTGTGGTTAAATGATGTTATATAAGGCACTCTCTTGCTAGCCGGCAGCTTACTCTGGAGCTGTGTTTCCCATACTGCGCCTGGAGGATGCTAGAACAATCTAGGGGATTGAAAGAGCAGATACCTACACTTTATCCAAATTATGAGCTATAGTACAAACGTTTTTAATTGCCAGGGGGCACTGAGTCGTTATTCATTCTTTCTGAAATTCCCCTTGCTGACCTGATGGAACATCGGAGCCATGGCCCTGAGTCCTAAAAAACCAAGAGAATGAGTATTGAAACAACAACAACAAAAAAGTGAGCTTGGAAGTATATTCTTCCCTAGTTGAGTCTCCAAATTAATATACAACTTAGCTGTTGGCTTGACTATAGGCCTTGGAAGGCCTTAATCAGCTTAATCAGCTGGACTCCTGGCCCACCAAAAATGAGAAGATAAAAGTGTTCTTTTAAACCACTAAATTAGTGGTAATTTGCTGTGCAGAAATGCATAATCAAAACAAGATAGATGTGCCCTGAAAAAAAAAAATCAGCCAGTTCAAAGGTGGGCACCACCTACCAAAAGTGAAACCTTTCATTTGAGAGCAAAATATCTATAAATAATCTTTCTAGCTACGAATAGATAGCAGGGCTGGCTGATAATGAAATTCTATCCTGATATCTGCCTATGCAACTATTTTCTCTGCATTGGCTGTGTCCTTGTGATGTGCCAAGTACAATTCTGGGCTCTAGGAGAGCAAGAATAAGGATAAAAGCCAAGATCCCATTGCCTGAAAATACTGGCAGGCTGGGCAGTGACACTACACACGGAGGTGTGAAACAACTTAGAAGTCAATGGCAAATAACACCTTCTTGTAGTGGTACAAATGCCAAAAGATGTAGGGAATTCAATCTGGAAGACAACAGTCACTTTTGAATGCATTTCGAGTCAACTTTAGGTGTTTAGGGAGACGCAGGACCAGAAGGGTTTCCATCTGCTGTGCATACAGTTGCTATGAGTTGGAACCAACTTGACTGCACCGAACAACATTATTGCTGCTCTCGGTGCTGACCTCAAAATGAGCAAGTCAACCACAGGATGCCCTGCACCCCCTGAACCCACCCTTGCCAGCCCCCATTCTCTGACTGAGCACTAGGAAAGGAGACAGTCTCCTGTTTGCCTATCTAATGATGAAAGCTTTGTCTCTTGCTCATCTGCTCCAGAGCAGAGGAGGGAGGTGGGGTAAGGTTAAGGTTAATGAACTGTTCCTCATCTTCAGGACTACTACTATACCTGAGTACATAAGCTGGAGTATTTTTATTCTTCATTGAAGCAAATTATGTGCTCACTACAAAACATGAAGAGATTGTCAACAAGGGGAAAATGGAAATAAAAACGTGTATGTCAATCTCAGAAAAATATTTGGAGAATGTGGGGTTAACGTTACTGTACATATCTACAGTTAACAAGATAGTATATATATACCAAAACGCTCCAAGTACTCTTAAAAGAAAAATTAACAGTCCTACAATTAAGAAATGAGTTCAGCACTTAAAAACACAATGGCTGATATATTCCAAATCATGAACCATTTCGGTATACACTTACCAATACGCACATAGAGGCTATATGATGAAAATTACAAAATACTGATGAGAGAAATCAGAGGCATAAATCAATATAGGGATACTGAGTTTGCAGATTGGAACACTGAGCATTGTGAAGATGTCAAATCTCCCCAAATGGACATGAAAGTTTAATGCAACTCCTATCAAACTTCAACAAGATATTTTATAGATGTAGACAAACTTATTTTCAAATATGTAAGGAAAGGCACATGACCTAAAATAGTTCATCTAATTGAGTCAAAGAATTACAAAGTGAGAGAAATCATTCTCCCTGATATAAAGGCTTCTATGCATTGGGCTGCAATATTAGCAGTTTGAAACCAGCAGCCTCTCCAGAGAAGTTGTCAGCTTCCGTGAAGATTGATAGTTTCAGAAACCCTGGGGAGCCATGCTATTATGTTCTATAGGGTCACTGTGAGTCAGAATTGATTCAAGGCAGTGGATTTGGTTTTTTGGATTATTTATCGACAGCCCACCCAGTGACTCCACAGGAGTCGGCTCCCATGGTTTTCTGCATATGAAACCCAGGGTAGGTAAATCTATAGATATCATAAATGGATTAATAACTACCCAGGGTCAGGGCAGAGGAGCTAACAACAATGAGTACAAGACAGAAGAAAGTGTTCTGAAATTGACTGTGGTGATGATTACACAACTCATCTTAACAGGATTAGACAATTCAGTTGTATGATAGGGGAATTATATGGCAATACAACTATCTTAAATAGAAAAATAACGAAATAAATAACATTTTGAAAAGTTCACAGAATAATGAAAAAATTATTCTAGCCTAGAAACCCCATGGGATCACTATGACACAAAAGCTGACTTAACCACACTTTACAACAGCATCCTGCTGCAGGAGTGGAGAAAGAAGAGATAGCCCTGCATGCAGGGAGCAGAACGAAAACCCTACTAACAGATCCCAACAACAGGATCTGCTGTGATTCTTATCAAACTGTCCAAGAAATTCCATGGAGGAACAATAATAACCTTTTCAGCAAATGATGCTGGAGGAACCAGAAATCCATGCAGCAGCTCAACTCGCTGCCATCAAGTCGGTTCTGACGCAGAGCAAGCCTTCAGGGCAGAGGAGAACTTCCCATGGGGGCTTTCAAGGCCGCCAATATTGATGGGCAGATCAAACCTCATTGTTCTCACTTGGAACAGCTGGTGGGTTTGAACGATCAACCTTGAAGTTAACACCCTATTTCATAACCACTATGCCACCAGAACTCCTAAATACCACATCTTATATAAAAATTAACTCAAAATGGAAAACTACAAATAATTTAGTGCTAGGATAGGGTAAAAAAAGTGGGGGGGGGGGAATAGGGTGGAGGCATGCCAGACCTCTGCCTTGAGCTATAGAAATGTCTGGTGCTATCAGATGCGCCCCCCATGCCACTTCCACACTCAGTCACTGTAACCATCACTGTCTCCTCCTGTCTAAAGATGTGTCATCTCCTGCTTCATCCTCAACGTGGCAGAAGCCCATGACATCAGAGGCAAAGGTGAAGGATGGCCACTGCTCATTCTCTTCACTTGACCTAAGAGGCAGATGGCAGTAAGCCCAAAGAAAGACCCACTACAGGAGATGGCTACTATTTACCAGAAGTAAATACAGCTCAGCGTGTACTTTGGAATAACCGGCCAGCCTTGCCACTTGCACAACTTCTAGCAAAGGTTATGCAGTGCCTGAGCAAGACCATGGCAGAATCACGGGCGCTCATCACCATCTGTCTTTTAGGATATCTACTCAGTGCTGACTGTACAGGTTTGTTTCCTTCTTTAAAATACAGTATACATGTTTGTCTTTTAGATACGGAAATGTCTAGGGCTATCTTTGTCAGTAAATAATGCTCCTTTGATTCGACAGTTCTATTTTAGATTCAAGTAGCTGTCATGGGGGTTTGTGCATACTCGCTCTCTGGCAGTGGGGTGTTCTTATTTTTCTCTTTCTTAACAAAATAGATTTTCGATCTTGACATTATTTTGGTTTTAATGAAGACAGCAGAATTTATGATTAGGCAAAGAAATTCCTTTTAGAAAAGAGTCATTGACTTAGTTTAAAAAATTAAAAGAGGGAAAGCATGTTAACAAGGATGCAGCAGAAAATGGAGCAAAGATCAGTTGCTATTTTTGCTTGGGGAGCTCCCCACTGTGAAATTTTTTTAAAAAAACAAAAAACATTCAAACGCCAAACAATGGTTGTATTTATGTTCAATTTTTCAAATCTGTGACATTCGTCTATCTTCAATGGGATGTTTTCGTACCAACACAGACATTAAACTTTTCATTTGAAAGTTGTTGATTGGTCACCAAGTTTTTTCCAAGATTAGGAAGAATCCATCTTGCCTCAGTTTCCACACAGTTCCGAGTTGATGTTTGGGGAAGGTCAGTGGGCAAAGTGAGTCTGAGTGCAAGACTGAAGAGCAGAGTAGGCACTTACTTCCGCCATGGACACGACTGTGTTTTTCATAACTTCAATGATTTCGGCACTCCCCCAAGAGGAGGGTAAAGAGGGACGAGGACATGAGCACATTTGAACAGACAGCCTGTTCTTGCAGGAAGCATTTATTACCCTTCCTTGTCAACCATAAGCCGATGGTGCCAGGATCAGGGGTGGCAACCTCAAGCGTCCCCAGAAAGCAGACTGGCATTATAGTTCCCACTCCAGACATGATGTCAGCTATGGAAGCTGACTGGAAGGCAGAAATGATGATGTGAGAATGCAAAGGTTCAATGGAACTAGCAAAGTGAGCAGAGTCAAGGGAGAGATCAAATCAGGGTGAAATCACACAAAGCAGGAAATACGGCCAGGCCATTAAACTGATCTCATCAGCGATATCTGGAAAGACAAGGGCCTCAAGCCCTCCCTTAAAGACAATGAGGGAAATGAAGGAGGTGGTAGGAAGGCGGCTGACCCACCTGGAGTCCTTCAAAGTTCATAAAAGGATAGGGTTTAGGGCAAGAAAGAGAGACTAGGAATTCAGAATTTGGGAAATTATGTCAAGAAAGAATATGTTCCCGAGAAGTTTAAAGAATATGTTCCCGAGAAGTTTAAAAACGAGAGGGCTTCAAGAAAAAAATGGGGGGTGGGGAATAGAATTGAAAGAACATGGAAATTTTTCACAAGCTTTTTGAAGCCCTCTCATATATAACCCCTGATAATACAGAAGGGGGGAAAGGCAGTATGATGCTGAGGTCAAATAACAGGCCAATGGGTGGTGCAACCAGTTAAGCAACGCATTACTAATGGAAAGGTTGGCAGTTCGAACCCACCCAGAAGCACCTCAGAAGTAAGCTTTGGCAATCTGGTTTGGAAAGGTCACAGCCTTGAAACCCCATGTGGAGCAGGTCTACTGGAAAGCCCCTGGGGTCAACATGAATTGGGATCCCCTGGACAGCCATTGAGGAGCACTAATGATGGAGTGGTTACATGTTGGTTGGGCTGCTAACCTGTAAGATCGGCAGTCCTAAGCCACCAGCTTTCTACTCACATAAAGAGTTATGGTATCAGAAATCCAGAGGTAGTTCCACCCTGTCCTATAGGATCACTAGGTATGGGCAAAGACTCAATGGCGGTGAGTTTGGGAGTTTTGGAAAGCCACTTACAACAAGAGGCTAGGGCCAAGGGACTTTCAGTAAGGTCGGACACTCTCTAATGAAGAGAGTGCCCCTCTTCTGTTGCTTTTGAGCTGGCACTGTACGGGTGGCTGTTCAAGTCTACCAGCAGCTCCACAGGGGAAAGAGGACTCTGTCCGCTCCCATAAAGAGTTACCGTCTCTGAAACCCACAGGGGCAGTTCTCCTCTGCCCTATAGGGTCACGATGAGTCAGGGTCACTATGAGTCAGAATCATACTAGACAACACTGGAGAGTATAGTGTCTGGAATCCCTGGGTGTGTCAAACAGTTATCGTACTCACTTGATAATGGAAAAGTTTGAAGCTTCGTGCTTGGGAAGAAAAGCCTGCCCATCTGAAATATCTGCCATTGAAAAGCCTATGGAACACAGTTTCACTCCGACACACGTGCACTTGCCCCAAGTGGAAGCTGACTTGGGAAGCACCTGTTTTTGTTGGGCGAAGGTGAAGAGCTAGACAAGGGCACATCAGAGAGCCAAGGGAATTGAGAAGATCATGAGAGATTGAATAGGGAAGAGACAACCAGCTTTCCCCAGCCCACACATCCTGTCAATCAATACCCTCAAAGCAGATTTTATTATCACTGCATTGTCATCCCCATTGTACGTTGGACAAAATTAAGATTCAGAGAGTACAGAACCTGCCGAAAGTCACCTACGTTCTTCAAACTCATTTTCACTTCACCCTCCACCCCCTGCTACCAGGTCAATTCTGACTCCTGGTAACCCCGCATTACAGAGTAGAGCTGCTTCATAACACTTTCTGGGTTGTAACCAAAAATGGAAGGACATTGTCAGGCCTTTCCTTCATGGTACTGCTGGGTGATTCCAACTGCTACCTTTGGGGTGACTGGTCGAAAGCAACCCATCTCTGTCACCTCGAGACTTTTTTGTACTGTGCCATGTTGTAAACAGGTCCCATTGCATGAGAACCCAGAGTCAAGCCAGCAGGTTGCGGATCACAAAGAAGGGCCTGGTGCAGGCTGGGAGGCAATGTGTGATGATTTTCCCCCCCACAATGACTGGCCACCTTGGAAAAGAAGAGAGAAGGCAAATGGCAGTGTTCTAGGATTGTTGGGTAGGCTTAGTCCTGAGGAATTGAGGATGTTAGCAAATGACGAGTTGAAGGAGAAAATGTCTAGGCAAAAATCAGAGACAAACGAACGCCCAGAAGGGAATTGCAGAGGAAGAGGACACTAAGGCTGTCAAAGTACTCAAAGTCTCCATTGAAAATACCAGGCTGAAGTTTGTCTTTTTGTTGCTGTTGTTTGGGTCGTTAATGAGAAGGCACATTATCCTGTTAGATGGCACCAGACACACTGCTCAGCTCTCTTTTATACTTTTTAGTCCATATTTAAACATACTTTATGTTGTTGTTGTTCTTCTTAAGAATGTCCACAGCAGATGATACACCCCTTCAACAGTTCTCACACGGACAATTAAGTGACAGTGATGACATCATTCATGTTGTGCAACCATTCTCACCCCCTTTCTCACATAGTTCCACTTTAGTCTTTTGAAGAAAAGCATGCCAGTTGACTTCTTGCATTCCTGAGAGTAAACTATACACAGAAACGCACACACATAGGACTTTGCAAGTCATATATTGACCATATATGGGGGAGGGGTAGCCCCCCAAACTGGAATTATCTTTTCTTAAAAGCTATGTATTTACATGTTTTTAACAAAACAACCATATCACTTTCAAAGTACACACCATTACACTTAATACATTTGTCAAATCTGTGATTCCATCCTTGGAAACATTTTTCTTTTTCTTTTTCTTTTTTTGTTTGTTTTTTTTTCATTTCCCTATTTCTTTTTTTTTTTTTTTAACAT